AGCAAGACAGTGAGTCATGCTCTGAAGAGGACATGTGAACTAACTTTTAAATGACCAGTCAGTATGTCTCTTTGATAAAAGCAGCCTGGGAGCATGGAAGGTCTCTGTTTTACTTTCCAGCCTACTCTCAGAGGCACCATGGCTAACAATGACTTTGGTATCTTTTGCTGTCTTTAATTTATTGACTTTAGTTGGCACTTGGCATCAGTAATAGTGTGCCAAGGCCTTATTTTTAATACCTGAAAAACAGAGAGAGAGAAAGAGAGCGAGAGAGACTGAGAGACTGACTATAACCTATGCAGGGCACCTTCTCCTACTTCCTGTTTTTGTTATTTTTTTAATTTACAACTCGGACATTGTGCTCTGAGCCATAGCTGCTGTTGGTTTATGGTGAATACTAAGGCTAACTTAGGCTGTAAAAGGTATACTGAGGCTCTTCTCAAGTCACTGATTAGGCCCACAGGAAGGGAATTATAGACAAAATGTTGCAGCCTTCAGAAGGCTTTGTGGGGAAGCTGATCCAGCTGCCTCATCAACAACCCCAAGGGTCACCTGGACACATCCCTTTTGTGTGTGTTTGTGTATGTATATGTAGTATATATGTGTGGTATATATACATGAATGTGAGGTGCACGTGCTTGTGCAGAGGCTGGAGGAGGATATTAAGTGTTCTGCTCTATCACGCTTCACCTTATTAACTTGAGACAGGATCTCTCACTGAACCTAGATCTTGGCTGGTGGCTAGAAGGCCACCCTCATACAGTACTGGGGTCCCAAGCACACACAGGCACACCTGGCTTTTTATGTGGGTACTGGGGATTTGAACTCGGGTCCTTATGCTTACACAGCAAGTATTCTAACCTGCTGAGCCATCTCCTCAGCCCCTGATACATCCCTTTTGTTTGCAGTACCTCAGTTCTTCTAAAGGGCATGGGAAATCAACTTTGAGCTTCCCGAGTACACTCAGGGAAATGAGTCTGATCAGCTTAGCTTGATGGACGTTTCACTGGGTAGAATTTGGAGTCGGCACTTTGAGGATACTGCTCCCACCCCTTTGCACCTAGCATCACTGACAGACTTTCTGTTGTCTGGACCATTTCTTTGCAGATAGGATGGGCTTTCAGGCCTCAGGATTCTAAATTTCACTGGGACAGATCTGGAGGATGGGTCAGCTTTCGTTTATTGACATGACCTCAGCAGGCCCTTTAGTCTTAAATCATTCTCCTTTTAATTCAGGGAAATGCTATTCCACTATCTATATTTCATGGTATCTGTTCTTAGATCTGCTGTTACATAGTTGTTTGGCTTCCAGGTAGTTCTTTCATTTCTCTTAATGGTTCTCATTTTCTTTCCTTTAGACTTAACCTTCTGCACTTGGTGTTTGGATGTTTTAACTTTTTTTGTTACATTTGAAAAACTGAAATGTAGTTTACAAACAGTGAGACACCTTTGTAATGTGAGTTGGGGTATGGGGAGATGGCTCAGTTGTTAAAAACACTTATCCTAAAAGCTTTAGGATCAGATTTCACATCTCTAGCATGGTGGGTAGGTAAATGCCATGCAGGCAGGGCAGGCTGCTTTTAATCCCAGCACTTGGGAGGCAGAGACAGGGGATCCCTGGAGCAAAATACCTAGGTAGACTAACCAAATCAGTGAGTTTTGGGTTCAATTGAGAGACCCTGCCTTAATATATAATGTGGAGAACAATTGAGAATGTTAGCTAGTGTTAACCTCTGGCCTCCACCTGCACATATGCTCACATACAAGCATATGCAAACATGCATACGCACATGCAGGCACATATATACACACAGGCATGAGTTGGTCTGGGCCTGTAGCCTAGTGTTGGAGTTCAGTGGTAGCAAGTGAAAGGCCCTGGATTCAATCCTCAGTTCCACATAAATAAACATAAACCATCCTTCATCCCCTGCCCCCCGCCCCGCCCATTTCTCAGCCCTGTCTCCTACCTAGGCCAGAGGCAGCTATTGTTCTGAAAGTGACCCTTTGTTTTAGTCTGTCTTTTATAGAGGTCCATATCAGAATGGGATCCCACCAGATACATGCTTGTGTCTGGCTTGTGTAGTTCAGACTGATGCTTTTGGGAGTCACACTGTATGATTTGAGATAAAGGGGCTTTTTCTTCTGGTTGCTGGTTGTATTCCTGTTTGCATGGATGTATTGCCATTATGTTTATGTTCACCTGTTTGGATCCTTCAGGTATATCTGCCTCTGTACATCTTTTGAGGACTTGTATTTCTTTTCTCTGAATCTTCAGTCTGCTTGGTGCGACCCAGAGCAGTAGAACCCTCCTAGGGCTTCTCCCAGCAGCAGAGAGTCCCCAGAGGAAAAGAGGATAGAGGTGGTGCCTCAGTGTGAACTCATCTGCATTTCCCCAGAGGCTAATGAAGTTCACACTGTTCAGGCTCTTGGCCATTTCTATAGGTCTGTTTTAGGTGTTCAGTTACAGAAGCTCTGTTTTCAAGGTCCAAGTCCTTTGTCAGATGTATGTATTGGGAGTGGTTTCTCTGTGGCTTTGCTTTCATTATCTTAGATAAACAAATATTTTAATGAGCAGAACATGGTACCATTTTATTGTCTAGATTAAAGATTAACTATTTGGGACTAGAGAGATGTCTCAGTGGTTAAGAGCACCAGCTGCTTTTGCAGAGGACCCAGATTTGGTTCCCTGTAACTCCAGTTCCAGGGGACCTGATGCCCTCTTCTGGCTCCTGTGGGCATAGCATACATGGGTACATTTACATCCATGCAGATAAAATACTCATAAAATAAAAAATTTTTTTTAAAGATTTACATATTTTTATTCAACATTTCATTGGATTAGAGAATATTTTATCTTTTAGACAAGGGGAGAATCCATCCTTCATTTACTAGAACTTTTCTGATGATTCCTTTTTATTTTATTTATTATTATTATCAATTATTATTTTGGTCTTTTTGAGACAGGGTCTCTCTACAGCCCCAGCTGGCCTGGAACTCACTATGTAGATCAGGCTGGCCTTGAACTCACAGATATCCGCCTGCCTGGGATTAAAGGCGTGCACCACCATGCTCACTCAGCCTTATTCCTTTTTAAATAAAAGCCTACTCTTGTGTATGCAGGTCCACATCTTAGGTCTTCCTGGGAACATTAATTAGATGTTTTTGAAGTTGCCCTTAATCTCTGAATGATTGTCTTTTGGGGGCTAACTAGACTGCTTGTTGATTTCTCTTAGCTCTTTTTTTAAAATTTTATTTATTTTTATTTTATGTGTATGAGTGTATTGCCTGCATGTAAGTGAGTGCACCTGTGTCATGCAATGCCACAGGGGTCAGAAAAGGGCTTCGGATTCCCCTGGAGTTCAGGACAGTTCGCAGCTGCCATGTGGATGCTGGGAATTGAACCCGGGTCCTCAGCAAGGGCAGTCAGTGCTCTTAACCGCTGAGTCTCTTGGCATTTTAACCTTGTTGGCAATGGTTACAGGGCAAGGGTCTGGCCTAAAGGGTACGGCTGCCCTGTAGGGTGTAGGCTCTTAACATGGTGCCACTTGCCATGACCTTTTGGCCCATTGCTGCTGCTGGACTCTGGCTTGACATTGTGTGGGGCCTTCCTGAAGGATTCTGGGGATCTTTGCTTATAGTTCCTTTCAGCTCTGTCTCTCTCTGATCTATCCAAACCACCTGCTTCCTGTCTCCTGGAATTCCTGTTTCTGTGTTCTGGCCTCAGCTGTGTTGACAGTTTCCTTCTGAAAATATGGATGCCTCTTCTTGCACTAATGTAGCTCTAGGGGTGCATGTCATGGGAGGTGGGCCTGGGAGGTGACACCAGGCAGAGAGAGTAGAGAGAAGCCACACTGGGCCCAAGGTGGGTTTCAACTTATGAGATGAACTTGGAAACACAGAGAGCTCAAGGTTGTGCAAGCTCTTTGGGTTTTTTTTTTTGTTGTTGTTGTTGTTGTTTTTTGTTTTTAAGTGCTCCATGGCGAGAATCCACTGGTGGATTTGGAAAAAGGGAAGGGCAGGGTCGAGGTGGGCTGCCGGGGTCAGTGAGGTAGGGACTGGGTGAGAAGCAGGTTCTCTCATGGAGCAGAGGACAGAGCTCTTGGAAAGGAGGTGACCAGCTCACAGAAGATGGCAATAATTATTTTTAAAATTTGAGACAGGATCTCATGTAGCCCACGCTGGCCTCCAACTCACTATGTAGCTGAGGATAACTTTGAACTTCTGGTCTTCCTGTCTCTACCTCCTAAGAACTGGGATGACAGGTGTGAGCCACCAGGCATAGTTCATGCAATGTTGGGGATTGAACCCAGGACCTCGTGCATGTTAGGCAAGCACTCTACCCACTGAGCTGCATTCCCAGCCCTAAGTGATGTTTGTTTAGTGTTGTGTTTTAAACTTCAGGCCAATGGATTGATTTTGCTGCCTTGGCTGGGTACATTGGCCCCAGGCCAGGTGAGGTATGCTTCTTTCTGTGAGGATCTTTGCTGAGACCGTCCTCCATCATCTCAGCGCTGGCTTTTGGCATGTATATTATCTCCTCTATCTAGTCTTCAGGGTCTTGAGTACCTCCTCCCACTGTACATACATTGGAAGCCAACTGATGTGTTGTTCCTTTAACACTCAGAAAGTGAATGATCGCTGAGGGAAACTGAGGTCTCTGAGGTGTTTTAAGGAAAAAGTGTATGAGCTTGGCAGCATGGATTATGAGCTGTATTTGTCTTCCTTGAGCAATTTCTTATAGAAATCCTCAGGCAGGGGCTGTATCTGGGGTGTTAGGACCCAAGGGTCAGCTGTAGTTTCTACTTGTCTCTCTGTGGGAGAGGAAGAATGGATTCTGCCACATGTCACTGCTGGGGAATGCCATGCCTGTGAGGCTTCTAGTTCACCAGCCTGTCCCTCCTGCTTACACCCCTGTCATGGCTGAACTCCTCTGGAAGGAGGGAGAATGGCTGGCAAGTCCCAGAGTGCCGCCTACCCAGTGCATCTGTCTCTGGCTCTAGGACCGGAAGCTTACCAAGCTGGAGCGGCAGCGGTTCAAAGAGGAGGCAGAAATGCTGAAAGGCCTACAGCACCCCAACATCGTGCGCTTCTACGACTTCTGGGAGTCCAGTGCCAAGGGCAAGCGATGTATTGTGCTGGTGACGGAGCTGATGACCTCGGGGACACTGAAGACGTAAGTGCTGCATGCCTGTGGGCTGGGGTGGTCTCAGCCTTGGGTGCAGAGCTTTGAGAGCTAGCAGTAACAGAGGTCTTGGACTTCTGGGAGCCATCCTGGCTGTTGCCCATGATCCAGTGTCCTGCCTCTCAGAAGTGTCTCTTGTTAGGGATATTCTTCCTGTGGGCCATGGGAAGCCCTTTCTCCAAAACAGAAGAATCAAACCTAGCAATTCCTCCTAGCCCGTGGCTTCCCCTGGCTTCTTGTGACAAATGAGACTGATTCTCATGACCAGTTGTCTGTCCGCATTCTCCTTTCCTGTGTGGGACACTAGGAGGAATTTACTTTCTAGTAAACCCTGATTTCTTTGTATACCCTGTCTGGGGCCTCATTTCTGGCCAATGTCTGTTTGCCTAGGGGCCAACCTGGTAAGTTCTGGTGGCCCAGAAGCAGAGTGGAGCTTCTGGAAGTAGGGGTTCAGGGCCAAACAGCATGGCAGGGGTTAGGGAGCTTGGTGGCCATGGCAGCTTGCAGTTCCTCCTTGAGATCTGCACTGTGAGGGTTAAGGGAATATCCCCTCTGGGTAGCCATAGTCTAGGTTCCTCTGAATTGTTTTGACCCGAAGGCCCCAGATAGGACCTTGATGTCCCCTACTGCTGGGCAGCTTCACTCTCAGGTGAAGGGTCAGCAAGGGAAGAGCCATGTTCCCATCCTCATCTGCTACTCCTCCCTAGAGACACATGAGGGTCCCATCGCACAGGTTGCTGGTCTGGCCTGGCCTTGTTGACTTCTGGCCATAGGTGCTCTCCTGTCACTCACACTCTAGGAATCTGCTGGCTGGGACCCTTCCCTGCCCAGGGTTTCTCATCATATGAGGGTTTTAGGACCATGCTTGGCATGGGCTTGTCAGTGAGATCTCCAGTGCAAAGAACCTGTGGAAAGCTGTTGTCCTAGCTCTGCTCCGTGTTTTGGGCCTGGCTCCAGCTGAGACACCCTGGCTAGGGGCAGAACTGTTGGGACCTTTCCTTTGCCTTCACTGTCTGAGGTGAGTGCCAAGTACAAATGGCCAGGTTTTGTCATGAGCTGGATGGTGCCAGACAGGGACTTCCTAGGAAGGGCCTTCCTGAGGACCAGCAGCAGGTGAGTTGTTTGGTGAGCTCTCTGCCCCTCCCCCAGGTACCTGAAGCGGTTCAAGGTAATGAAGCCCAAGGTGCTGCGCAGCTGGTGCCGGCAGATCTTGAAAGGCCTGCTGTTCCTGCACACGAGGACCCCCCCAATCATCCACCGAGACCTCAAGTGCGACAACATCTTCATCACTGGGCCCACTGGCTCTGTGAAAATTGGTGACTTGGGTCTGGCCACCCTTAAAAGAGCATCATTTGCCAAAAGTGTGATAGGTGAGCCTCTTTTTCCTCCCCAGGCATTCAAGGGGCCATAGATAGCTGGTTTTTGCTCATCCATCTCAGACCTGGTGCAGGAGGCTCAATAGTGTGTTTGCGCATCCAAGTGGTCCCTCCTGGCTTCTGGTGGCTCAGCCAGGGGACCTGCCTGGTGGAGAACATGCTGCCTTCTTGGCTGGACGCATTGGCTCTGTTCCCTGCTGACACGACTCCCTATCAGACTCAGGGCTGGGATGGTTTCTGCATCAGCTCCTTGGCTCTGTTAGGTGCCATCTGTGATTGTCTGCTGAGGGTGATTGTCTGCTGGATGCTGACTTCTGTGATATGTGTGGACACTATGGTCACTCGTGAGGAAGAAGAGGCATTGTCACAGAGGACCTAGGGTGCTTATGGCAGGTGATATTGGAACTGACCCCAGTAGTCAGGGAGAGGAGTACCCAAGGCTGTGGGACACAAGTGAAAATTTGGAGTGTTTGGGTGCAGTGTTGAATCAGGGGCCCAGAGTGGTATCTGCATGGTGATGGAAGGGGTTGCTGGGGTTTTATTCAAAAGCATTTTGGTCCTTTCTTGTCCTCAGGCCTTGACTCCAGTGTCCTCCTCTGAGTGGCTTCCCTGGCCAACTTTTAGGGGTGGTGCCCTAGGCCCTAGGGATAGTGGCCTTGTAGCTACTATGTGAGGATGGGTATCATGTGTGTGTCCAGCCCTAGGGTGGCCTGCACAGCACTAAGTGTCTGCCAGATGCTAGGCAGGATCTTCTGGACTTTGGAGAGAATGTGCAGAGAGGCTGCAGGATGCTGTTTGGAGGTCACTGCTTTGTAGCCAACTGTGCCCCTCCATTGAGGCTGACTGCCCACACAGGCAGGACAAGGAGTGCTTGGTCTCAGGGGAGAATTGTTTGGGGACAGAACTTGGCCTGTTTGGTAATCTTGGGGAACTGCTTTATTTGCAGTTATGTCTCCAGGCAGTAGCTCTTTGTAGCCTAGGTCTCTGTTCTCCTGGGAGAGCTAAGTGGTGGGGAGCTGAGACTGACCCAGGTCTGTTTCCTATCTGTAAAATAGGTGGGGCTGGGCTGGGGAGATGGCTTAGTTGGTAAGAGTGCTTATTTTCCAGAACCTACATAAAAAACTAGGCATAATCACACACATTCTGTAACCCCAGTGCTGCTGGGAGGCAGGATTGCTGAGACTTTCTGGCTCCCAGCCTAGTTCCAGGTTCAGTGAGACTCTGTCTCAAGGGAATAAGGTGTAAAGTACCTGAGGAAGACACCCAGTAACCTCTGACTTTTGTACATACACCACATACATATACCACACTTATACATACATGTGTGCACCCCCTCACATACAAAGTACTTTTTAAAAAGAAGAAAAGAGGGACTGGAGAGATGGCTCAGCAGTTAAGAGCACTGGCTATTCTTGCAGAGGACCCGAGTTTGACTCTCAGCACCCACATGGCACCTAACAACCGCCTATAGCTCCAATTTTGGGGGAATCTGACACCTTCTTTTGACCTCCGTGGCATTGCACAACAGGGGTGTACTTACACACATGGCAGGCAATACACTCATACACATAAAATAAAAATAAAATTTTTTTAAAAAGGAGAAGAAGGGGCTGGAGAGATGGCTCAGCAGTTAGGAGCACTGAATGCGCTTGCAGAGGACCTGGGCTCGATTCCCAACACCCACATGGTGTACACACATACAGTCATACTCATACACATAAAATAAAAGTAATAAATAAAATATTTTTTTTAAAAAGGAGAAGAAGTCGGGCGTGGTGGTGCACACCTTTAATCCCAGCACTCGGGAGGCAGAGGCAGACAGATCTCTGTGAGTTCAAGGCCAGCCTGGTCTACATAGTGAGTTCCAGGACAGCTGGGGCTACTGGGAGACCCTGTTTCAAAAAAGACCAAAAAAAAAAAAGAAAGAAAGAAAAGAAGAAAAAATGGGTGGGACTCAGAGTGGCGGTATCACACCTTGGCTCTGAGCTTTAGGAAGTTTCCAGGGCAGGTTTTACAAACTCACCCTTGGAAGTGATTCATGCTTGTAGACCTTGGGCTTGCAGACCTTGAATCAAAACAAGATTCATCCTATCAAGAAGCTGAGGCCCTGAGCACGTTCCCTGGCACCCCACACCCTGTGAGCTCTTGGATATGAGGTTTCATGCTGTAGCCACAAAGCTGAAGCTACTTCTCTGTTAAAAAGGAGAAGGTGGCTAGGAGCTGTCCCTACAGACTTGCCTTTCTTTGGCAGGAGGGGCTTGGAGAGGGGTGGTGTGAAGAAGGTTCCCCAGCACCTAGTAGCATAGCTACATCTAGACTTGCAGGGGACAGGGGCCTATAATGTTTTTCTGGCACAAAGATTCATCTGTAGAGACCTGGGGGTGCCTGGTAGGTATACAAGGGCAGCTGTGGGCCCAAGGTGGGCTGTTCTGCAGCTGAAGGCTGATCATGAAGTGGGTTAGTGAAACCATTGTCTAGGCAAATGCATGTGTGTATGTATGAGCACATATACATGTTATTTCTAAAATTCAGATTTAAATAGTGCAGTGAAAAGGAAAAATGAATCGAGCACACCAGTGTCCAAGAGTTAATAGGACTCCCTATCCCAAATCAGAGCTAGACCCAGCCCTCCGGCCCATCTCCCAGACCCAGGGAGGGTATCGGGATTTGGGGTGCTTCTCGCAGAGAAGGGGCCTCAGTTCTTGCAAGTCTCCAAAGAGACCAAGCCCAGAGGTGCTGCCATGCCTTGACCCTGGTACTGTATATGGGCAGCCAGGCATCTTTGCCAGATGAGTCGGGGGAGGGGGTCCCTGAGTGTGCCCAGGAGTATCTGGCTCAGCTCCTGGCTTCCTGTCTAGCAGCTCTGGGAGCCAGGCTCCTGGCAAGCTCCTCTCTGGGGCCCAAGACACACCCCTGGAGATTCTTTGCTGGCTCCTCTAGCAGGAAGGGCCTTGCTATGTTTTCTTCTTGCTATCACAGGACAAATATCCCCCACAGCCCCTGGCAGAGGCATCACAGGGCTCAACTAGCATGGGTAGCATTGTGGCCTTGGGGTGTGAGCCCTCCTTCCTACAGCTAGGGGCTTCTGGCCGAGTCAGCTGCCCTGTCTACTGTGCTCCAGCTGCCACCATGGTGGACCTCCTGTGTGATTGCGGTAGGCCCCCTGTATGATCATGGTGCTCCAGGCCCATGTGCTCCATCATTATCTGTTGGGGAACCCAAGGACATATAAAGGGATGGAAAAGGCCTGGGCTCTGATCTGTGCATAGGCCACCCATGTCTGGGACCTCTCTGCTGTGGATCTTGTGGCCTAAGCATCATGTGGACAAATGTTGGAAAGAAATTTGAAAATACTACAAATTAGCAGTATAAAAAATATTTCAGAAGCATAAGAGAATAAAAATTCTCAGCCTCTACTTTTTCTGATGAATTTTTTTCCAGAGATCTATATTCTTTTATATAACTTAAACATTTTTAATTTTTCTTCACTTTTGCCCAAAATGTTCACTTTGTGGTTAGACTCATAATGTGTATTAAACTGAAACATTGAATGAGAAGCCCCAACATGGGGCTGGGAGATGGCTTAAGGATTGGAGTTCAGGTATCCAGCACCCAAGAGTGGCAGCCAAGTGGGTATCGTGGCCACCTGTATTCTCAGTGCTCCTCAGAGCAAGTGGACTAGCCAGACTAGAGGAATGGGGAGCTCTGGGTTCAGCAAGAGACCTGCTTCAATTTATAAGTTTGGGAGCTGTCAAGTTGGACCTATTTTAATAAAAAGTATTTTTTATTAAAGCAAAAGCTTTATTGCTCTCCAGTATCAACAACCTCTGCCCTCTACACACAGGTGTGTACACACGCACACACACACACAGCCACCCCATATACACATACACAAAGAGACTCCTGACATGTGCTATTTTCTGCATTTAATTGTTTTCTACTATTTTGCACCTTCAAAAAAATTTTGAAAAATCTTCCAACGTCGATAAACACTCAGATACTACATGTAGCCTCGCTGAAGGTTTTGGCTCTTTTTGATGCATTGGTTAACACTAGGTTGGACCTATTTTATGCTTTTTTTCTTAAGCAAAAGTTCTGATAAAGAAAAAAAATACAAAGGAAAGTATGTAAAACCATCCATCCTCCATCTCTGAGTCTTGAGCTGTGTGTGCTGTTCTCTGTTTGTGAGGCTGTGAGCAGGGACAGGCTTTTATTTCTGTTTGATTGTTCTTTATAGGTTCCTATGTCTGTAATGAGCCAAGGAGTTAAGGATCTGAGTTTGATCTCTAGAACCTATGTAAAAAGCTACACTTGGTGGGGAATGCCTTTAATCCCAGCTCCAGTGAGGTAGAGACAGACCAATCTCTGGGTCCACTGGCCAGCCAATGTAGCCTACTTGGTGAACTCCAGGCCAATGAGAGACCCCATCTCAAAAAAAGAAAAAGTGTGTGTTGGGGGTGGGGGCAGACAGTGCCTGAAGAATGACATGTGAGGTTGTCCTCTGGCCTCCACCTGAATGTCCGTACATATACATACACACATACATGTACACAGACAGTTAAAACAAGCATCATTTCACTCTTCTTTTGTTTGACATGCTGTGAGCAGTTCCCATTGTAATAGCTTTGTGGGACCTGTCTGGTGGATCCCATTTGCTCAGCCCCTAAAGGGTTAATAATTGCATGTTACATTCATTGTAGGTTATGCCCAGAAAACATAGCCATTCCTCTCTCTGGGAACACTTAGAGCCTTCTTGGGTTCTTGCGGTTACAGGCAGCTTTGGGGTGACTAACAGGTTTTTGTCACCTCTGGGGAGTTGAGAGCCAGCTGATACTAACCTGTCCTCAGGGATGAATATACACAAGCCAGGGTGTGCTCAGTGAACAGGTGTGTCCCCTGGTAAGTTGTGGCCTCTCAGCTCTATGGTAGAGATGACACTCTAAACTGATGGTTAACTATGGAACCACAGGTGATGTTTTGGGCACCTTAGTCTGTAGTGTACACCTGTTTGAATCCTGAGGTCCAGTACTGATGATCTAGATAGAGCTGGATGTCCTGAGTGTGCCAAGAGACAGACAGGGAGGAGGCTGGGGACTTCTCTGGACCAGAGTGGGAGGAGGTCATGATCAGTGATGGCTACAACTGCTGCTCCTGGCACAGGTACCCCCGAGTTCATGGCACCCGAGATGTATGAGGAACACTACGACGAGTCGGTTGACGTCTACGCCTTCGGGATGTGCATGCTGGAGATGGCAACCTCAGAGTACCCTTACTCGGAGTGTCAGAATGCTGCCCAGATCTACCGAAAGGTCACCTGTGTGAGTGTACTCAGCCACTTTGTTAGAAGGCCACAGCCTTTGCTAGTCCTTTGGGCCTTCCCCATGGAAGCTGTGTAAGGAATGGAGTGTGGGCATCTTACAGTGGGAAAATTGGGGCATAGCTGGGTGAGATGTCTAGCAAAAGAGGTAGCAATGATGGTGCTTAGCCTTGGAGGCTGTCAAACACCTGGCACCAGAAGGCCTAGGACGAGGGAAACTGAACTTTGGGAGGTTGTACCTCTGCTTGGGCCTCTTGCTGTGAGATGCACACAAGCTGCCTGTCCTTGGAACTCTGCTCTGGGCTCCCCAGGGCTATTGGCCTCCCCATTTTCTTTATTTTGGAATCACAGTTTGTTTTCTTTTTCTCCAAACTGTTGCCCTAGCCAAGCATATCTCTGGGCAGCTGTCAGCACTGGGCAGCTTGGGAACCTTAATCCATGTTTTGCTGTCACTGTGATTTTTGACTTGATCTGATGGCTTCAGCTGTGCAAACAGATTGGCCTGTCCTCTCTCTGTGGTGGCCCCTAAGGTAGGGGAAATAAGCACAGCATCTGAGGTGGAACGGCTGGGCCAGGGCTTTTCTGTGCTGGTTTTTATGCTGTGTCATCTTTGCTTTCATGGTAAGGCCAGGAGGCCCTCAGCGTGTTCCCTGACCTGGGCTGTTGTGATCCCCAGAGTCCTCCCTGCCTCCTGGGCAATCTGATGGGATCTGATGCTTTGTCTGCTGTCTACTCTGGGGGCCTATATGGCAGAGGCTGCCTCTGCGGGTGTGCATAGAATCATGCATGGTGCAGGCACCCCTGCAGCCTTCTGACCCCTCTTGCTGATGATATATACCCTTCCTTTGTCTGTTAGATCCAAATTATGTCAGTTTGTTGTCCTGAGCCTGTCCTGTGTGCACTGTAGCTGGGTGGTGGAAGACTGAGTTCTTGGCTGGTGGCCTGGCCCAGGAAGTACCTACAGAAGTATAAAGTTCTCCAGGGGCCATCTGCAGAGCAGGGTGCTGAGGACTCCAGAGATCTAAGGCTTTGGTGTTGTTGATGTGGGGTATGGAGAAGGGTCCCCGGGGCTTCAGGCTTGCTTTGAGCTTGAAAGATGGTGGCTTGTCCACTGGGCTGGGGACAGGAAGGGGGCATCTCAGACTCAAGGCTGAACATGCTCCTGATTCTGGCTAGTGGGCAGCATAGCATAGCCTCTGGGGCTTCAGCCTGACTTATTAGGTCCTCCCTCCTTCCCTCCCTCCCTCCTTCCCTTCCTTCCTTCCTTCTCTTTGGGAAAATTTATGCTTCTTGCTCTCTATATAAAGCAGAAAAAGGGCAAGGCTTTTAAAGACTGAATCTCAGTTGAAGGATGAAGCATGGGATGGTTGAAGTCTTCATTGTGTTTATGCTTTTTAATTAGTTGTTCTCCCCATAACCTCTCTCAAAATGGAGCAGATTGCACATGAACTCTGCCAACTCTTGCTTCTGATGCAGGAGATATCTGTGTTTTCTCTGCATGGACATTGGCTGGCCAAAGAGTGGTTGTATCTGCCTGTCTTCCCCCCTCCAAAGTCTCTTCCTTGCCTGTGGCCAGCAGCAGTGACCACAAACAGTGCTCTTGACTCCTCATGGGTGGCGCAATGTGGGGAAGAAGCCCAGGTGTGGGTTGAAAGCTCTGACTGTATGGGAAGTGTGGCATCCACTGTGGGCTGTGGCTCTTCCCTTAGATGAGGAGCTGTTGGTGCAGGAGGCCCTGGAGGCTGTACTCCTGAGGCTCCACAGCTGAGCTCTGAGGGACGCCTCTGCAGAAGCTCATTGCTGGATCTGAAGCGCTAACCCCAACATCAAGTTTTTAAGCACAGGTAGAGGCTAAATGCTAGAGCTGGGTGATGGTCCACAGGACAACATGGAAGGGGGTCCTTGGCCATAGTGTGAGGCTGGGGCTGCTGGCACCATCCCACCACCCCTGTCCTTTACAGGTACAGGGGAACTCAAGGTGTCCTCCATGCAGATTGGAATGGGAGGCACTTAGGCTATTGGCCTTGCTGAGGGGAGGAGCTTAAAGAGGCTCCCCAAGGGAAGCTTCCCACCACCTGCTTACCCCCTGCTTTCTCTTGTTTGGGTTTGAGTGTGATATCTCTGTAGGCTTATAGTTTTCATGCAAGTTGGAAAGTTTTTCATCATTTCTTCAAAGATATTATTTTCTTCTTCCCTTCCCTTTTTCCCTCCCCCCTTCCCCTTTCCTCCTTTCCGTCCCTGTGTATGGCATATGCACAGGGGTGCTCACCTATGTAAGCATGTGTGGAGGCTAGAGGCTGATATCAGGATGTCGTCTTTAAATAACTTCTCAGCCTTATTTTTTGAGACAGTATCTCTCACTGAACCCAGAGCTCTAGCACTTACCAACTCAGCTTGACTGACTGGCAAGTAAACCCCAGAATCTGCCTGTCTTTGCCTCTCAGTGCTGGGGTTATAGGCACATGTCACCAACCCTGCCTTTTATGTGGGTGATAAAGATTTGAACTCAGGTCCACATGCTTGCATAGCAAACACTTTACTGAGTAAGCCATCTTCCCAGCCCTCAAATGTTTTCTTTTCTGGCCCTGCTCCGTACCTTGACCTTCTGGGGCCCCACTTATATGTATATCATATGCCTTAACCTGACCCTTGGTACTGTCCCAGATTCTGAAATGAAGGGAACAGAGCTGTGTCCATGTGTCTCTCTGCTCCACTCACAGTAGCTCTTATTTCCACGTCTTGTCTTCTGCATGTCTGATCTGTGGTGAATCTGTATTGGCACAACTTTCTCTTCAAATGTGCTGTTTCCACGTCTAGTTCCACTTGGTTCTTTTTCATCTCTATCAATTCTGCTCCTCAACATGAGTATTTTGCTTTAAAGAATGGTACATAGCAGCATTGAGTTTTACACACACTCTCCCCTGTAAGTTTCAGCAGGCTCTCATTTCTGTTCACTGTTTCTTCTGCTGGGCTGGGCCAGGCCAGGGGTCACGTCTCCCAGTTTATTTAGTAATTTTTGTCTGTGTCATATACTGAACCCATTATAGCATCTCTCTGCTCTGTGTGAACTCTAGGAATAGCTGCTCTGCCTACAGCTCCCTCATGGTTGTTTCCTGGACTCTGACTAGATACTCAAGCCTTGGTTCTAAGCAAAGATTTGGAGGGAATTACATGTAGACACCTGGGCTCTTTATCACTGTTTCCTCTCCAGAACTCTGTCTCATAGCCTTCTCAACTTCCTTGAATGCTGAGCTCTACCCTCAACTCACTTAGACCCCAGGCTCTACTGTGTCCCAGGCCTCAAGCTAAGGGAGTGCTCTGGGAAGCAAGCTGGCCATGGGAGGCAGCACCCTGGGGGGACTTCCCTCCAGCTCTGGATAGTGCCAGCTGACTCTGCTCTGTCATTCTCAGGGCATCAAGCCCGCCAGCTTTGAGAAGGTGCACGATCCTGAGATCAAGGAGATCATTGGGGAGTGCATCTGCAAGAACAAGGAGGAAAGGTAAGCTCCTGAGGGCTCAGCATTCTCTAGCTGACAGTGGTCCACCTGGTGTTTAGAGCCACCTTCCAAAGGAGAACTTCCTGGTCAGTCAGACAAGCTCAGGCCATGTGACACCACACTGGGGAGTTGCTGTGGATGGTTCAGGGCCCACGTCCTTTCCTGCTTCCTGGGTCTAGCCTAGAGCACTGGGACACTAGGCCTTCCCTCTGACCCTCTTTGCTTTTTAGTTGTCCGTGGAGATTTTATCTATTTCCATGACCTTAAGGAACATCTCTATCCCAGGCTTCCCATCTGCTTCAGCCCTGTCTGCTTTTGAATGCCAGATTGTATATATTGTGAGCATCTGCCTGTTTCCACTGTCTCTAAGGCTGCAATCTCACCTCTGGGCCCTCCATTTATTCCCCAAATCCAATTTCCCTTTGGAGTAGGACTGGCCTTCCTAGCTGGACAACCTGAAACTAGGGGTGCCCTTTTAGCCTTCCCACCCCTAAAACAAACTGAGGTACACCCACTTAGCCACATAACACCTTCAGGAATAGACAGAGATGAGCAACTGGTGTTCACAGTCACAGACATGATACCCATTAGAAGCCAGACCTAAGACAGTGGATGCTGCCTAATTGCATTTGTTATTAGAGAGTAGAGCAGAGCAGTGGTTTAGGGATGAGTGTTTGAGTAGCACGGCTCTGGAGCTGGAAGTGAGCACCATAGCAACACCTAGCTGCCAGGCTGCCTGGCCTCCTAGATGAACCTCCCGTGGTGGGGGTCTACCTCTAAACCCCTGGGTCTAGTAGATCCTTGCTTCCCTTTCTGCCTTTAGCCTTCTATACTCTGTCCTGAGAGCGGCTCCCTCTAACCTTGCTGCTGCAGGGAGGTCCAGTGCCTCTGTTTTTTTTTATGTATAGGTTCTACTTCCTTTGGTCTACCCTTAGCCCTAGAATGTCTTATGAACATTGAAGACTCATCTGTTCCTCAGCAGGATCTGTTTCTATATGCTTAGCTAGTGGCGTGGTATAAAGAGTATGATTTCTTCCCATAATGGGAAAGAAAAAAAGGAAATCTTAAAACATGAATTATCTAGGTTATGATTTTTTACATTTCCTGGAAATTAAGGAGTGCTAATGTGCATGCCTCTTGTCCTATCCTTCTGGGCAGAGCCTGCCTGCCAGGATTGAGGTTAAAGAACTTTCTAGGGTAGCCTGCTTATTAGTGTGCTGTGTGGAGACCTGGTATTCTGCATGTGTATTCAGCCATACTGCTCAATGGGTGTGGAGGCCCCTTGTCTGGGGCCCTGCCTGGGAGCCACTCTCCCTCTAGGTACGAGATCAAGGACCTGCTGAGCCACGCCTTCTTTGCGGAGGACACGGGTGTACGGGTGGAACTCGCAGAAGAAGACCATGGCAGGAAGTCCACCATAGCCCTGCGCCTCTGGGTAGAAGACCCCAAGAAACTGAAAGGCAAGCCCAAGGACAATGGAGCCATAGAGTTTACCTTTGACCTGGAGAAAGAGACACCAGATGAAGTGGCCCAGGAAATGGTAATTTGTGCATGCCTTTTGCAATCCTGTACATCCAGTAAAAGACATGGGAAAGTCTGGGGTGTTCCTAAAGGTTGGAAAAAGTCACCAAATAGATTGCTTCTCCAGTAGGGCATGCACCGTGGAGGACGGGTGACCAGCGTGCATAGGAGGGGCACAGGCAGTCCTGAAGAAGGACTGGGGTTCCTGCTATAGGGTCAGGTACATATCATGACAGGAGGGAATCTCTACTGCACAGGACCTGAGGAAGGAGCACCTGGGTCACAGTACAGGGAAGAAGTCCAATGGAAAAGTGGAGAGAGTAGATTGGATAGATTTGAACATGATGTCAAAGGCCTTACTTACTTTGACCAAATTCTTGCCAGTTTGCCCCATGGTGGTGGCTTTGAGCATGGGCTTTGTCTCTCCTGCTTTGGATGTGTTCTTATGTTGCTTTGGGTTCTGGTACTTTAATACCCAGTAGGGTGGTGGAACATAGATCTAGCCCTGTGCTACCTCTGCCCCTCCCCATGCTGGTCTGTGAGAAAGGAGGGGGTGAACCCTTTCTTCTTCAGGTGTCAGATTGGGCCTCAGGATGTGCATGTAGAGCCTGCTGTGATAACAGGGTAGGAGATGGAGTTGATTAGCCCTTACAGGACAAGGAGCAGCACAGGTACAGGCACAGACAAGAGGAACAGCCACACTTGCTGCATGAGAAGCATATAGTCAGGACGTGGCAGTTTCTAGAACTGTGGATGCCAGGCTAGATTATTCTACCCACTTCTCTAGGTCAACACTATCCAAAATAGTAGCCATGACCACATGTGGCTACTCAAATTTAAGTAATTTAAAATTTAATCAAAGTGCAACTTTTAGTCTCTTTGGCATCATTTCAAGAGCTTAGTATCATATGAGGTAAGAGACTCTGGAATAACCTGGAACATTTTCATCATAACATGTTCTACTTGTGATGCTATTCCGTGTTATAGGGGGAAGACTGTGGAGTGTGTGTTGTGTGTGTGTGTGTGTGTGTGTGTGTGTGTGTGTGTGTGTGTGCGCACAGCCTTGCCAGGTTAGGGCTTGTTTGCTGAGCATATGGGGCTGATCCCTGTCAGTGCACAGGTGGGTGCCTAGTCTAGGGCTATAGCTACTGTGGCCCTCTTGTATTGTACTACTGGCTCGTGTCTGCTGTTTTCCCTCTAGATATTAGTGGCTTTTTACTTCTCTTTTGCCACCATCTTCACTACAACATGGAGGGCTTTCTGTACTCCTGTCCTCTGTGGTGTGCCCTTCTGTGGCTTTCCTGCTTCAGCTGTCCCCATGAAGATCTTCACGTCCTCATCCATCTGACTTTTTGTCTAAGAGGGTTTATCCTTTGTAACTACCAGTACAGATGTCAGCCTCTTGGCCTGGCATAGGGTTCTCGGAAGACTGTAGTGTTTGTCCTTTTACAATTGTTTTTAAATAAGCTTTCTCCTCTCTTCTCTTCTCCTTTGTGGTACTAAGGACTGAACCCAGAGTATGTATGTTGTGCAGGTACTTTCCCACCAAGCTGTACCCTAGTCCACTTTTTTCCCCAGTGCAGGGATTTGAATTCAGGACCTTATACATTCTAGGCAAGTGCTCTATCACTGAGTTATAGCCCCAGCCCCATCTTTTTTATTTTTTATTTTGAGACAGATCTCATTACGTTTCCCATGCTGGCCTTGAACTCACTCTGTAGCCCAGGCAGGCCTTGAACTTTTGATCCTCTTGCCTCAGCTTCCCAAGAAGCCAGGATTACAGGCTTGTATCACCATGCCCAGCTCCTAATAAGATTTTCATTGAACAGAGCACATCTGTTGAAAATGTAAGTCTCAAGTACATGGAATGGTGGGGTCCCTCAGTTCTCTAAGGATCAGGAGAAATGGATGTGACTCTGGATGGGGTTAGGCTTTGCAGAGGTCAGTACAGGAAGGGAGTAGTGGCTTAGCAGTGGGGCTTCAGCAGCCATGATCCCTAGGGAGCTAGGGTGAAAAGGGGCCCAGGGTGAGCCTAGGTCTTGTGGAGAAAGGTTGGTTGGTGATCCTGGTCCACAGCTGCAGGATGGAGTAATCTTGGTGAAGCTCTTCTGTGTGGCCTTTTGAGTACAGCTGAGTGCAGGACCACATCACTTCCTGGGATGCTAATGCCACTGCCAAGGTTTCGCCTTGCCCTGTGCAGCAGCCGTAATGGCACAGTGAGGGCTGGGGTGGATGTGGCCAGTCTAGGCTGGCTTCTCTGGGTGCTGGCTATACTGTCTGTTATCCCAAGATGCACAAAGGGGACACCACCCATGTACCTAGGCTGGCCAACCCTTGCCTGGCCTGCCTCTAGTCCTATCTCTGGCTCAGCCAGTGAAACTTCTGCTCTGAACAGATCTTGTGGGACCTTGTAGCTTTCTGGAAGACCTCCATGCCTCACAGCGCCAGCCAGTGACTGTATGTGGTGCACAGTGTTTTCCAATTCCATCATCAAGATTGACTGTGCATTCAGATGGTCACTGCACATGTTTCTTTCACTGATGTCAACAGCTGTCTCTCCATGCTTTTTATTGCAAATAGTAAGCATTGTGTCAGCTGTAGGCAGCATGAGAGCTGGAGTTTAGTGTCAGCTACTTCCCAGGAGCATCCTGTAGATACTGTACTGGCCATTGGTGCTGGACTGGGGTGACAGAGGTGGGAAGGATGACTCTTAAGAGGGTGGAGGGAGTTTCCTGTGCATATCAGATGAGGGAGTCCTGGGGCCACCACACTGTTCTGGCCTTGCAAAGGGTGTCAGTTGGGGCTGCCAGTGGTATGAATGGGGTCCATGGTCATCATGGTTTTAATGTGACAGAATCTCTTCAGGTGATCCTGCCTGCTCTGTGCTGGGTGGGGCAGGGGACTTGGGAGCTGAGTATTGGGGTCAGGGGCAACAGAATGATTGACATGTGACAAGGGGATGTTGGAGCTGGATGTGATTGCAGTGTGGGCGGGGCTTCCAGGACGGTGTTCAGAATCCCTGACAGGTAGATTCTGAGTGTCTGGGATTCATCCAGATCTCAGCCTCCCAGTTTGGCTTCAGTCCTGTTAAAGACACAGTGTTCCAAATGCAGGTGTACCCTAGGTGTCCTTCTTGGCCTGCTTAGTTGCTTCCAAAGCAAGTGACACCCAAGGCTCCACCTCCATCCCGGCTTGTCATCAAAGTAGTAGGGCTTGACGCAAGATGGGGCCATTATGGGTAAGACTGTCACCTCAGCTGATCCCCGGCATTTAACTGAACTCGCAGGCCATGTCCCTGCGTTAGTTCCAGGGAGGCCCCTGAGCCCTGCACCCTCTCCCACCTCTCCTCTCCTCTTTTCCCTTCCCTCTCATTCCTCCCTCTTCCCCTCTTCTGGCTCTTACTACATTTTTTTTCATTATAAGGCATGCCATCTATAAGAAAAGCATCCATGTAGAAGAAGGAATGTGACTTGTGTCCATTTAAGTAACAATAAAGCAGTGTGTGTTCCTACTTTTGCCCAGCCTGGTTGCCAGGTATGACAAACTGAAAGCCCTGCATTCTTTGTGGGGACTCTGTTCTGTGAACAGCCACACACAGGCTTGTCTTGCAGCTCTGCCCTGTTTTTATTGGGCCTCAGAGTGGGAGCTGCACCCCAGGAGACTTGTCCAGGTTCCAGCCTTACCTTCCTTCATCTGCCTTGGTCTGGAAGGCCGGGGAGAGTATGAAGACAGAGATGGCTGCAGTGTTGCAGAAAATGGAAACAACCCCTGATGTGCATGAGGTGGTGTTGTCTTTGGCAGCTCTGGACAGATCAGTCTTGTCCCGTAGAAGCATGGGGCCTCAGAACAAGCAACCTGCAAAATGGGAGAGACAGACCTCTCCTAAGGTCACCTGGGGCTTTAGGGATGGCCTTGGCTCCATGTTTCATGCACCCTCCACCTTTGTATACCTACCTCCAGGGATCGTGTAAATTATTATACCTGCCTTGGGCTATCCACTATAGCCTACAACTGACATTGATCAGGCCTGTTCAGCCTCAGCCACCTCACAAAGGTCCCTGTGGTTGAACCTGGAAGTTCTTGGAAAGAGTTCACTCCTTAAGGCCAGAAGAAGGCTTCTTACCTGGTCCCCACCCTCTGGGAACATGGACCATCCTATTCCCAGGAAACTTCCCAGCCAAGCTGGTGGCTAAGCCCAAAGACCCTGAGAGTGAATGGGTTCCACGGAGGATGCTGTGTCCTTTTCTCACCTCTCCTGATCCTTTCCCTGGCCACATGCCCAGCCTATTCCTGCCTCTGCCAGAGCCAGTGAGGTCCTACGAAACAGGACATTTTCTTGCATGTAGCAGGCAAGATAAAAGAAATGCCATCAGCATGCTGCTACCACCCCAGCCTCAGCCTCTCAGGTCCTTGGTGTCAGCATTGAACCTTTTTCATAGGACTCCTTGTCTCCTTAGTCCTCTAACTTCTATGGCCTGACCTTTGGAGAGGGCTCAGGCATCCCTCTGGGGTAGGTGATGCATCAGTAGGAGTCTGACAGAAGGAGCCATTTTGTCACCACAGCCTGCCTGGGGGCACATGGTTCATGCAGGATGCTTGCTCTGAGGGCTTGGGGCAGGGACATCTGTGCGTTATCCATGTGGAGTGCATTCACCATCTGTGCCTGATGTGTGTATTATAGGAGGTACTCGGAAACTGTAAAGGTCTTGTCCATCAGACTTTCTGCTGATTTATTTCTCTTTATGAACACAGCCTAGTCCTATTGAGATATTGATTGCTTCATAGCAGATTACCCTCAGTCATAGTGCTGGGAGTGATCTGGCCATTTTAGTCTTCAGATCAAGGATCGGGGATAGCTGAGGGCTTCTCATGAGGTGCAGTCAGGTGTTGGCTAGGGCTGTGGGCCCATGTAGGAGGGAACCTGAGTTCTGTGGGTCTCTGCAGAGAAGAGCTCATGATGTGATTTTACCGAGCAGTGATACCAAAGAGAAATGGAGGGAGTGAGGGAAATGAAGAGAAACTCAGATGTATGGAGACAAGAGGAAAAAAAGAGATATAGAAAGATAGGAGAGACCCTCCACACACCTCTTCCTAATTCCAGTAGGGATACCCTGCCCCTGCTCCCCCCCACAAGTGGTTTACAAATGGCATATGTAAAATGTTGCCAGGGTTTGTGGAAATGTCCTCCGAAGCATCATTGTCACTGCTCATTGTGATGCTCAGATGTCCCACATTTGCCCTGATACTAGCTCCTATGTCCCTGCACACGTCCCTGCCTTTCCCTGAGCATGTCCAGTCTCATCCTTCTCATTCTCCTGCCCAATCCCAAGCCACCGAATCTTGCAGTGGCTCCAGTTTCCTGTGGCCTTGCACAGGATTATGGGTGTTGTTTCAGGGCCTGCAGGGTAGACAAAGCTCACAGGGACATTGTGTATCTGCACGTTCACACACAGATGCCATCCAGGGCCTCTGGCTTCATTAATGTTGTGCCATTTTCACTGAAGCTCAGGTTCCCAGCAGCACTGTGGCTCCATTCTGTATTCCTCTTTCCACACGGGAGGAGCCTGACTGTCCTACATAGTCACTGCCTTCCAACTGTGTTCTCCACTGCATGTGTTCTTTTCACTGCATTGCCTGGCCCTCAGACCCTGTATCATCACCCCCAGTGTCCCTGTGAAGGGCACATCCAGTCTCTTTAAAATTTTTTTTCTTGCTCCCTTTTCCTTCCTTCCTCTAAAAAATGACTTATTTTATTTTTAGTCATGTGTATGTTCGTGTGTCGGTATTTGAGTATGTGCATGTGTGTGCAGATGCCCTTGGAAACCGTAAGAAGGTGTCAGATCCTCTGGAGTTGGAGTTATATGTGGTTGTGAATGCCCAAAGTGGATACTGGGAACTGAACTCGGGTCCTTTGCAAGAGCAATACATATTCTTAACTACCGAGCCATCTCTCCAGTCTCTTCACTCAGCTTCTTTATGACTGAGGTCTTCATGAAGGGAAGGGACACCTAGGTAGATTTAGAACTTAGTCCTGAGTTTTCATGAGCCACAGTCCATCCTCCACTTTAGCCAGAGCAGCTCCTCAGTAGCGGCCTTTGTCCTTAGGAAGTGGCTTTGCCACAGACACTCCTAATGAACTCACTGTGTTTCCTGGAGATCATGGAAGTGAAGGGAGTTTAGGCACTTGTGCACTCCATACTGCTTTCCAGTGACCACGTGGGCCTCCTCCTTCCAGGCAGGTCAGCTCTAGGAGATCACTGAATATTTGCTGGGTATGAGCTGCTGTCCCATAAGCTGGACCCTGTAGTCTTCAGTGAAAGATGGGTATTGGGGTATCATTCATGGGGTGACATGAGTGTTCTAAGAACTACAGCGTGTATCATGGGGTAGTCCTAAGGCAGTGAGGTATGCATGCAGGATAGCTAGTTCCCAAGACGCTGACCATGTGGCTGCCTCTATAGATTGATTCTGGATTCTTCCATGAGAGTGACGTGAAAATTGTGGCCAAGTCCATTCGTGACCGTGTAGCACTGATCCAGTGGCGGCGGGAGAGAATCTGGCCTGCACTGCAGTCCCAGGAGCCAAAGGACTCCGGCAGCCCTGACAAGGCCAGGGGTCCACCACCAACACCCCTGCAAGTCCAAGTGACCTATCATGCGCAGAGTGGACAGCCTGGACCGCCAGAATCCGAAGAGCCTGAGGCTGACCAGCATCTCCTACCCCCAACCCTGCCAGCCAGTGCAACCTCCCTAGCCTGTGAGTATGTGGAATGAGGTTACCATGAGCTATGTCATGCCCCACCAAGCAAACCTAGCCTTAGGGCAAAGCAAAACAAAGTCCTCACCTTTTATTACAATACTGTGAGGAAGACAGGTCGGGGGTGCAGATCTGTGGTGAGCTCCAGGCCGGCCTCAGGTAGCTGTGTCATTGCTTCCTGCTGCAGGTGGTTTCCTGAATCTCTGGCTTAGTTCCTGCCCACCACCTTGGCACCAGGGCACATGGTGATCTTTTAAGAGGGCATGTCCTGGGGTCCCCAAGTGCTAGGACACATGGGTCTTGATTCCTTGGCCAGCCTGGGGCTTGTTCCCACTGCCTACCTTGTAGGGCATGGATAGTTGTTCAGGGAAAGGATTGGCCTTTCCATATGTTCCCCACATGTTCCCCAGGGCAGTTAAGGATGTCTGGAATCTGTTTTCTCAGGTCAGGTGGGGTCAAATGTCCCTGATAGTAGGGTCTAAGCAATTGGGTCCACCCCTGCTCTACATTGTGAATCTGTGGCCTTGAAACTAGTTCTTTATCTTCTCTGAGAGAAGCGATCCTGACCTCATGGAGGGATTTGAGGGCCAGGAAGCGGTGCTGTTACCCATTCCTTGAAGGATGTCTGTGCCTTGAACCAAACAGCTGCTGTCTTGCCGTCCATTTTCAAAGGATTATTTTTCTTGAGATAGGTTGGATGTGGGCTTCATTAGAGACCATCCTGAGAAGATCCAGTGTTCTCTCAGGATAGGCACATAGTGTCCTGTGTTTGCCTTCCATGTCCAAAACCCTAGCAGTGTGCTGAGGGCAGAGACTTGACTTTGTTCACTGTGTGAATCAGCCTGGAGCAGATTTACAGAACCCAGTGACCTATCCAGCCAGTATTTGAAGTTGTTCATGTGGAAAGACTGCAACTATTTATTTAATATGCATCCCCTTCATTTATGATTTACATAGCCAAGAAGACTACTTAAATGCAAATGAGCAGCCCTCACTTTGAAGTAGTTTTCCCACTGTTTACTTCACTCCTAGCTGATCTCTGTGTATTGCACTTTGAAGAGTTTGTGACCTAAAAACAATGTCCCACTTGTAGTCAGATGCCAAAGGTTGCGTTTGATCCGGCATGTGAAAATCCAGCAGAGATGTAGAATGGCCAATGAGTTCATATCAGGGGTAGGTGTTCTCTGCCGACAGACCCCTTTCCTATGCGACTCAGAACACTTACATGCATAGAAGCTATGGCTAACCTTCTCAAAAGGCTTTTACACGCTGTATTTTATTTAAAATAGATGGTACAGTCACATGTAGAATTTTAAAACTCCTTACATGCATAGAAGCTATGGCTAACCTTCTCAAAAGGCTTTTACACGCTACATTTTATTTAAAATAGATGGTACAGTCACATGTAGAATTTTAAAACTTCAAGGGTTTACGACAAGCCACTTGTCTGCCTGGAGGCAATGGATGCTGCAAGTCTTTTACCTATCCTTCCAGAGATAACCTACACGTCACCCAAATGTGAATATACAAACACATGCACAGAAGTAGACACATAGCATGTGCATACAGATACATACTCAGTGTGTACACTCATATATGCACAGAATGCATACATTTATAGACAAGCACATACCTCACACATACATACCAATGCATATGCACATGTGGACACAGGTGTACATCCATTCCCACACACAGATGGGAACATGTGTGTACCTCCACACATGGGCACTTGGGAACACAAATGTGGATGTGCACACTTGAATATACTCATACGTGCTTGCATATGTGACATGAAGATCACATGTGAACACACACATGCGTATCTCCATTCCCCTCTCTTCTACAGTGATCAGCACCTCTTGCATACCCTTCTGCACTTTGCTCTGGGCTGTTTCGTCTTCATTCTCCACCTGACTACAGAGTTCTACAATGGCTGGTCATTCTGTGCTTCATAGGGAGCTGATGGGGATGCCAGACAGTACATCACCTAAGCAGATCTGCACATACAGGATCACAAACACACGTGCCAAGTCACCTTTCATGAGTCTTCCACTAGTAATCCTGACCAAACTGAGCTGGTTGCTTCCACTGCCACATGCTGAGAGAACTGTGACAGCACAACCTACTGGGAGACCCCAAAATGATCTGCAAAATGAAATTTTAACTATACAAGTTATCTACACAGATCACTTGCAGTATTTAAAGTGGCAAACACAAAGAGTTGCTCTTCTTGAATCTTGTCAGGCCTTGGGCCACCTTCCTCGCCTTTCCTGTCTGTCAGGTGGAAGTGGCTACTCTAATGAGCATTTGACTTATTAAAAACCAGAGGTGCTTGTCTAATTGGTTTTGCCCAGTTAAACCTCAGCACTCCTTATGCCCTCGTAGGTTAAAATCAGTTCTGATCACTCTCTGGAAAAATTTAGTGCAGAGCCAGCAAGACTTCCTGTTCACTTGGCTTAAATTATTAGCAAACACAATACTCTCTGAAATGCAGCCCCTTTTGAAAACAACTTGTGCTTTGGTGGCGAATTATAAAGCCTATGGCTTTTGGAATCCAGAAAGAGTAACCCCAAAGTGCTGTTTACCAGACAGGTTTCCGGTTTTCACTCTCCACTGGCTGACCATGCCCCAGGCTGCCTTACCGGGCACCATCAGAGCAGGACAGCTTCTGCACCTGTATAGAACGGTGGGGGTGGGGGCGGGGAATGACAAGCTGTGCCCACCCTGATACCTGTCCTGTCCTGTCCTGTCCTGATGTCCAGCCATGTTAGGGGCACAGATGTGGCTCCCCCATACACTCGAGGGTGACTGTTTAAGCAGTGTGCACAAAAACAACCCAGTCTTGGTCTTGCAGAGGGGAATATAGGGACAAGCCACCATGTGCTTGTGTGCGGTGTCATGGAGGTGGCATTTAGAGGTGTCCATGCTAAGTGTACTTTTGTCCTCCTCAGCGGACAGCACCTTTGACAGTGGCCAGGGCTCTACTGTGTATTCAGACTCTCAGAGCAGCCAGCAGAGCATGGTGCTCAGCTCCCTTGTGGACACTGCTCCAGCGCCAGCCTCGTGTGTGTGCAGCCCCCCTGTGAGTGAAGGACCTGGCCTGACACACAACCTGCCTTCGCTAGGGGCCTTTCAGCAGCCTGCCGCCACGGTGAGTCAGAGAGCCACCCTTGCTTTGCCTTTTCAGCCTCTGTCCAGGCTATACTGAATATGGTCAGGGTTAGAGTGGCCTCCAGTCAGATTCTAGCCATATTTCCCTTGGGAAATCTGAAGATACAGGTCCATGGAGGGCTGTCTTTTCTGGGAGCTGCAGAATTGCAAATCAAGGAGACTTAGATGTGAAGAATCCAAGATAAAGAATATAAAGTACATAAAAATAGACCTCGGGGGCACCCAGAGTTTGGGGAGCTGTAAAAGAGCCCATCAGTCTCATCCTGGGGCAGGCATTAGTGTTGAACAGTGACAACACAGGTGCGTGTTGCTGGTCCACTGGGGTCTGGGTTGATATTTTGTGATAATAAGCCCTGGTTTTATCTTACTGCCCAACTTCCTGAGGGGACATTCATAAGTACCTGGCATGTCACTAGGTAGTAAGCAACTGTTGAAAGCCAGAGGATGAAAATGAGGCTGAAGGATGGGGTCATTTCTAGTATTTGTAGAAGGCAAGAGAAACTCAGGCTATGAGGATGCCTACTGGTGGTATGCGAGATCTGGGGAAATGGATGATGAAGCGGTCAAGTAGGGCGTTTGTTTATTTACTTATTTGTTTGTTTTGAGCCAAACGTGGTGCTCACTGATTGGTTAGTCTGGCTGACCAATGAGCCCCCAGGGTCCTCCTGCCTCTTGCCTCCAAGCACTGAGATTACAGATGTGCTCTGCCACACCTGTCTTTTTCACTTAGCTTCTGGGGATCCAAGTTCATGTTTGAAGCCATCTCCCCAGCTCTGGTTTTGCTGGGGCCTTTTTTCCTTTAAAGGAAAACACTGAAGAAAAATGTTTGCTTTAGTCCTAAGTACCTCATGCTGAGAGTTTGCCTGTGACTCAGATAGTGGAGCTGAGCTCTCAGAGGGTGATTTGACCCCCCACTCCATGGGTGGACTCTGTCTTCATTAGTCCCTTGGGAGTCCCCACCTGGTGTGTTGGTAAGCCCTGTTGTCTCTGTCTCTGTCTCTCTCTCTCTCTGTCTCTCTCTCTCTCTCTCTCTCTCTCTCTCTCTCTCTCTCTCTCACACACTCACTCACACACACACACTCACTCTCGCAGACTCACTTAGTCTGCTGTGGTGACTTCTTGCACCCACCTT